CTGTCAGGCTCTGGGACAAGGGCTGGGCTTGGGTGGGCACCCAAGGGGAAGGGGTCGGAACTGGAGCTCTGTGTAGGCAAATGGTCACCCTGGAAGAAGAGGGGGGCATTCTGATAACAAACGACATCACCACTTTGGGGCCTCACCCCAAGCATGAGACCTGGGCAGAACAGAAGACCCTTTCTGATCCCTTCAGAGATGACTATTCCTTCCAAGCCCTTCTTCTTTTCTCTGAGATCCCTTCTTTGGCACCTGTATCACCACTTGCTGTGAGGTAGAAGTCTCCGTGGGAACTAGAGCCACATCCCCACTCCCAGAGCCACTCCATTTCAGGGGCAAAGAAGTCTTGGAGGAGAGACCCCACTCTTGATAGGAAAGGGTGTGGCAGAATTGGGGCACCTGCCTGTACCATGTCCAGCTTTCCCCCACTACCGGGGGGGGGGGGTCACTGTTGGCTGGGCAAGGAGATGTGTTTGTTAAGGACTCAGTGGTCTGGGAGAAAGAGGCATAAGTCAGGTGACTCTTCCCACCCCTTAAGAAGAAGCTGGATGGGGCGCATGGGTGGTGCAGTCGGTTAAGCGTCCGACTTCAGCCAGGTCACGATCTCGCAGTCCGGGAGTTCGAGCCCCGCGTCGGGCTCTGGGCTGATGGCTCGGAGCCTGGAGCCTGTTTCCGATTCTGTGTCTCCCTCTCTCTCTGCCCCTCCCCTGTTCATGCACTGTCTCTCTGTGTCCCAAAAATAAATAAACGTTGAAAAAAAAATTAATAAGAAGAAGCTGGAGATTAAGAGCACCACACCCCAAGCCTTGGGAACTCAAGCCCTAGCAGACAGGGCACCAAATTTCATCCCCTTACCCCCCAGAGTGGATTAGGATCTTCCCAGCCTTAGGCTTCTGGGGCCTTCCCCCGGCCACCTGATAGCAAATGACCCTTTTAAAGATTCTGGGAAGCTGTGTGGAGAAGCGCTCTTGGGTTTGAAAAGGCAATTTGACTCTCACTTTCCATACAAACACAATGCATCTTTATTAAAATTTGCAAAATAAAAACAAAAACAGACATTTCAAGTTAGTTTAAAAAATACCTTCTCTATCCCCTGCCCCAGCAAAACCCAGCCAAGCCAGCAGGACAGGTTATCTGAATGCAGGGAGCTGGCTCAGGAGTGAAGGGTGATGTTAGATGGGGTGGAGTACAGATCAAGGGGGCCTGGAGGACTCCCTGACTGGCAGTCCCCACCAGGGCCCCAGTGGGCAGGCAGCCAACCTCAGCAGCATTCACTAGAGCCACTGAGAGAACTGGGCAAGGGGGCGGACGCTCTTCATAATCTGAGGTCCACTTCCCCTTCTACCTCCTGAAAATTTGAGTCTTAACTGAGACTCAGTTTTCCCATAGGAAAGAAAGGTGGGGGCAGAGGACTGGAGGTCTAGAAGGTGGTCTCCCAAGACTCAGGCCTCTGTGCTAGGGGTGACCGCTAGAAGAAGGGGATAAACCAGATAGCTTAGCTAGCAAGTGGCTGGACCATCACACCAGAGACCCAGCCTGACTCTGGGCGGGCACCATTACGGGGACAGCACCCATGCGGCTCAGAGTGGAGGAAGACACCCCACCAGGGCTGGGGGATGTTGGCTGAGGGTGGGCCCCATCTGTCCTGAGCAGCCTGGGTGAGGGCCGGACCTGACTGGAAAGGCTGGGTGTGGGGGTCAGTGCACCAGGCCTGGGAGGACCTTGGGGTTGCCGGAGGGCTCGTGCTGAGGTGACAGATGAAAGGGTCCCGTTCTTGGAGATTGTGTCTGAGCCCTTGGGCCAGGGCAGGGTCGGGGGAGCAATGGCGTCCTCCCTAGTCATCAAAGAAGTAATAAGATGTCAGAAGCTGGGTGGGGGAAGAGGGGGGATTTCTACCTGCTTTGTCTTACTCCCCCCTCACACACCAGTTCACTCTCCTCTCCCTTAAAATCCCCCAATGGAATGATGTTTCAGTCACTGCCCACCTTTCCTTTAGATGACAGCTGCCTAAACTCCCAGCTGGGGGAAGTTAGGAGAACCCCATTGGGACAGAGACTGGGGACACTTACTTAATGTCATTGGCCGGCTCCTCTAGGGCCTTGCTCCGGCGATGGTACAAGAGGACCAGTCCAGCGAGCAGTCCTAGTCCAACCAGAGTGCCTACAACAGCTCCAGCAACAACAGCAGGCCCTGGCCCTGGGGAAACCTTGGTGTCAGAGGGAGATCCCCAGCCGTTCTCCACTCCCTCCAATCCCACTACCCCACTGCCACCATTAACAGTTTTTCTCTTTTTCCATGTTAAGAAGAGGGGTTGACTGTCAGCAGGAAATGGTCAGCCAGCCGGTGACCAAACATTTGGACAAACATTTGACCAGGACAAGCAGACAGGCCTCCTCTCCTCTTGCAGCCCCACCCCCACCAGTGACCAGTCTTCTCCTTAACCACACTTACCCCTCACTGACCTGTGCTCACTTCCAAGGTCACATTGCACTGGGCGCTGCCCACCTCATTGTGGGCCTTGCAGATATAGACTCCGGACATGGAACTGGAAAGGTTTGTGAGGCTTAAAGACCCCCGGATGGCATCTGTGGACACAATTTGACCATCAGTCCAGGGACCTTCTTTCCCACTGAAAAATTCTGCCCCTTCCAGGATGTCCTCTTTGATTCTCTGGGAGACTCGTGGTGGGAAAAGTTGTGACCACCATGCTGAGTTCTCCCCCCAGGTACAAAGCTGCTAGCTCCATGCCCCTCTCCATTTCTTCTGCCCAGTGTCCCCAACTGAAATCTAAAAAGATTTAAGGAGGAATTGATGCCCAGAGAAACCCAAATATCAGTTTTACTTCTGTTCCAGATTGGCGGTGTGGTGAAAAAGAAAATATTAGGCTAGGAATCAGAAAACCTGAGCTCCCGAATAGGCCATGTGACTTTAAACAAGTTACTTCCTCTTCCTGGGGCCCAATTTCTTCATCTATAAAATGGGGTAATATGACCTCCATGATGGCATTAAAAGCATTATATGAAATAATCATTATAACAGTTAAAGTTTATTGGTTGCTTACTCTACGCCAGAGACTAAGTCCCTTATGTGTACAAACTTGTGAAAATTTCACAACAAACCTATGAGATAAGCACTGTTAAAAAAAAACAAAAAAACACAACTTTTGGGAAGCCTGGGGGGCTCGGTCGGTGTGTGTCTGACCTCTTGATTTTAGCTCAGGTCTTGATCCCAGGGTCATGGGATTGAGCCCGCTCAGTGTGGAGCCTGCTCAAGATTCCCTCTCTCCCTCTGCCCCTCCTCCCCCTCTGTAAAAAAAAAAAAAAAAAAAAAAAAAAAAAAAAAAAAAAGTAGCTTAAAAAATAAATATATTTTTATATATTTATACACCCATTATAAAATTGGTCAAATGAAAAGTAGAAAAAGGGACAAATTGAAAACTCATATACCCACTATTTAGATTCAACAATTGCTAACATTTTGCTATATTTATTTCATTTCTCTTTTCATGAGATGTTTTTTAAATTTTTTTAATGTTTATTTATTTTTGAGAGAAAGAGAGACAGAGCATGAGCGGGGAAGGGGCAGAGAGAGAAGGAGACAGAGAATCAATCCTAAGCAGGCTCTAGGCTCTGAGCTGGGAACCCACAAACTGAGATCATGACCTGAGCCCAAGTTGAACACTTAACCAACTGAGCCACCCAGGTGCCCCAAAGAATTTTTGTGAGACATTTAAAAATAAGTACTTCAGCATGAATCTCCAAAAAATAAGGACCCTGACCACATAACTACAATACCATTGCCACACCCAATAAATTAATAGTTCTCTAAAAGAATGATCTAATACCTAATAATAACTATCTAATTATCCATATTGAAAACGTTTCAATTGTCCCCAAATATCTTTTGTAGCCAGTGTGTTCAAATCAGGGCTGTGATATCCCCGTTTTACAAATGAGGAAGTGGAGGGGCTCCTGGATGGCTCAGTTGGTTAAGCGTCTGACTTCGGCTCAGGTCATGATCTCATGGTTTGTGAGTTCGAGCCCTGTGTTGGGCTCTGTGCTGACAGCTGGGAGCCTGGATGGAGCTCTGCTTGAAGATTTGTGTTCTCCCCTTTTCTTGCCCCCCTCCCTCCCTTCTGTTCTCTCTGTTCCTTCTCTTCTCTCTCTTCGACTCCTCCTCCACTGGGCAAGATTTCTCTCTCCCTCAAAAACAAACAGTAAAAATTTTAAAAATAAAAATAAATAAAAATAAATAAATGAGGAAATGGAAGCACAGAGTCACATTAGTTAGTCAATGCATTAGTTGGAATTCGAATGCAGATCATCTGCTCTAGACCCTCTTCAGTAACAAAAGTACATACAAAAGTACGTAGCATTTAGGCCTCTCAACATAGTGCCTGCACCTCCAGGGTCAGCCCACCCTTTCTCCCCATCGGCCCTTCCTCCACCCAGTACCTGGTAGCATTAGAGCTCTTTTTCACTCACCACACACTTCTCAAGAATCCTCCACCTCTCCCTTGCATTTCTCTTCCTCCTTCCCTGCCCTGTCCAGCTAGCCACACCATTTGTTCTGTAGTTCTCTACCTAAACTGGTGCAAAGAAAACTCTGGGCGGATGGGGTGCCTGGCCCCACTGGTATTGCAGTGCTGGTTTACCTCCTGGGACTGGCAGTTTCAGGGTCACGCATATCCTCACACGGCTACACACCACCCAGAGGCAGGATTGGAGAGGCTGGAGAACCTGAGCAGGAGACAGGTGAAAAATTCAATCCTCTCAGGAGCCACAGACTCCTCACCTCCTACTCACCTCCTTGCCTCGCCTCCCTTTCTGTTTACCCGGCTCTGCCTCCTCCAACCTTACAGGCAGCTCTTTGGGAGAGACCGCCAGCCTGACTCTGGGCTGGGCTGTATTAAAAGTGCAAAAGCTCACACTTACCCAGCACCACTGAAAGCCCTGCAAAGTTTTGCTGCTAGGCTCCTATTTATGCCTTGATGGTCTCGCACATTCGTATTCACAGAGGTGCCGTAGGGACCGGGAGTCTTTCTCCCGGAGGCAATGTCCTGGGCAGTCAAGAGCGCCACACGCCAGGGAGGGCATGGAGAATCTAGGGATACCCTCTGTTTGCTTGTCAACCTGTTGATGTATGCCAACACCTGGTGTGGGGCACGCCCCGGGTTATCACAGGCGACTCCAGCTCCCGGTTCAGCCAACTTCTCCCCACACTGGCAGTCTTCGCGCCTCCCCTCCCCACCTTATCCCCTCCAACCTGTACCACCCCCCATATTCACCTGTTCCTCCCTAGCTACCCTTCTCACTGTTCTGTTCTGGGTCCTTTTTACCACGACGCTTCTTGATCCCCTGTGCCTTGTCTCTTTATCTCCCACTTGGGGTGTTTAGAAAGGTGGTATAATGGGTGAGGGATAATGTAAACAGGGGGTATTTATGACAGGAACTTAGAATTCAGGGATAGATCCAGGATTTTTAAAATATCTTTTTTTAATCTTCTTTTTCTTGAAGACGTCCCCCCTTCCCTATGTATAAGTTCAGGCCCTGCAAAACTTACATCTACCCCTGTAATCTCAATTTCTGTCACACACATACCTCCTATTTATCAAATGACTTCTAGAACATACTTTTCAGAGCCTAGGGAGGAGCTCATGCAAATAAGGGGCTCTGAAAATGACATTTCATTGGCTTCTGGGTAAATCTGCCTCTGAAAATAGGTCTGATGTTAGGAGGTGGGGGGGGGGTGGGGCAGGAGCCTACCACTTGCCTCTCAAAGGAGTGTATGAAGGGGCAGCAGGACAGAAAATCACATGGGAAGAGAAGTGGCCTGTGACAGTGTCCAAAGCACAGAGAAGATGAAAATAGGGTGATGCTCAGCTTTTTATTTTATTTATTTATTTATTTTTTTCAACGTTTATTTATTTTTAGGACAGAGAGAGACAGAGCATGAACGGGGGAGGGGCAGAGAGAGAGGGAGACACAGAATCGGAAACAGGCTCCAGGCTCCGAGCCATCAGCCCAGAGCCCGACGCGGGGCTCGAACTCGCGGACCGCGACATCGTGACCTGGCTGAAGTCGGACGCTTAACCGACTGCGCCACCCAGGCGCCCCTGTGCTCAGCTTTTTAAAATTATGGAATATTTGCCCTAACCCTTCCTTCCTCCTCAAACCCCAATCCTCACTGCCCCTCCTCAAAGCAAAGCAAAGCAAAATGCCTTTCCACTTTCCAGTGTTTCGTGTGCTGGATTTCTAGGGAAAATTGGGGACAAGAAAATTCTTTGGGGCAGCCTCCAAGCTCAGAACAAAAACTGAGCCCGTGAGGGACCTTGCATTTTCCTGAAACTCCTTCCCTGTCCCCCATTCCCTGGCCACCCCTCCTGTTCTCCTCAGCTCTTCCCTGCCCTCAGTCACGGGGTGTAGCCAGCCTCCGGCTGAGATGCTTTCCTCCCTCACCTGGTTCAGATCCTTCCCTTCTTGTTCCAAGAACCACATCACGGTGAGCAACTCCCACGTCTGGCCGGAGGACACCTGCCCTTGCAGGGTGTACCACACCGGGAGCACCACTTCTGCTCCTTCCACTGCCTTCAGCTTGGTGAGGCCAGCGGGCACGTGGAGCTCCAGCTGGGCCTGCGAGGGGGACGCTGGGGACAAGAGCCACAGGTGTGAGCGCAGAGGGCTGGCTTCCCACTCTGCCTGAGGGCCCTGCCCAGGGCAGCAGAGAGGACGAACCTTGCAAGACCCCACACTGCCCGGGGACGGCAGACCTAGTGTCCTGCTTTGGGATTTTATCAGACCTTATTCTCCACAACCTCAGCTCCTGGGTTCATAACAGGGTTAGGGACACATTTCTGTGCATTTATTGGTATCCAGATTTCAGAGCACCGGGAAGAGGGGGCAGATTTCCAGTGGGGAGGGGAAGACATCTGAGAGGAAGGGTAGGTTTAACACTTTTCATCTACACTCTGCATAGCCCACTTGCTCCCCCAATTTCCCTGGGCCAGAGTGGATCTCGATGCTGCTGAGGGTAGCCAGCGATGGGCAGAGGGGGTTGGAAGGCCTGCCGGTTACCGATTAACCCGCGCGGCTCCTTCTGATCTAGCGCTCCACCTGGCCCACTGACGGTAGTGCTCCCCAGGCCCCCAGGCTCAGTCCCGACCCAGGGACTTCCCCAGGAAAGCGGAGAGTTGAGAACCCAGAAAGGGGCCCTTTTTGGGTCCAGGCGATCCGGACGGGTCCTGTGAGGTTACAGGAACTCTTGGCAGAGCGGGAACACGCACGATGGTCCCCTGATAATCAAGTACAAATCTTATGTCTGTGTGCCTATGGAGTTCAGGCGGTGGACTGGGGTGTCAGTTTCAAGGAGCGGACAATGGAATCTATGCTTGCATGATGGCGTCCAGAAACATTCACGTTCTGCCCTTCAGAGAGGCAATGGAGCAGCCCAATCCTAAACCCTTCCGGGGGCGGGCGGATAACCTCGGGCTTGTACCCGGCCAGGCCTGAGGATGCTGGCCACCGTAGTCCTTGGCCTCAGCACTCTGCATTGGAATCTGAGATGCCATCTCTACATGGTGACCAGGCGGCCAAGGCGCGGACAGAGGCCGCACGCAGGTCCGGCTTTCCGCCCTCCAGGAGCAGGCCCTAAAGGCCTCTAAGGGCCAGGCGCAGATCCGGCCAGGATGCGCGCCACCCCCACGGCTTTCCGGCTGTGCGTCTTTACAGAACCCCCGGCCCTATTCCTTGGCCTTCGCCGCACCCCCCTTATCCATTTCCTGGCGGGTCCCCGCGGGCCGGGCGGGAAACTTGTGCCCGGTGATAAGGCAGAAGACAATGACGGAGGCGCAGCTAGACCGGAGGCTCTAGAGGCGAAAACAACCTCTGCCTCAAGGAGCCCGACCCCCCTGGGGACCTGGCCCGCTGGCCGAGCGGGGAGGCCGGGGACGCCGGGAGGCCTTCGGGCAGTGCCGGATCTTCCCTGGCCTTTCTGGAGCACACTCCCGAGAGACCACAAACGTTTCCCCTTGGGAACCCTGCCTGGGTCCCGGGAGAGGCAAGAGCTTCTTCGCCACAGGCGACCCCGACGACCTCCCCCAGGTCCTGCATTTATCCTACCACTTTGCAAAAGGAAGACTAGGGGTGGTAAAAGATAGTGATGGACACACTGCGGTCTGGGCACACGCCCCAGTCAGAAATCAATGGCTGAAGGGGGCCAGAGGCTTCCCTGCCCTCGGGTCTGGGTGCCCGCTGCAGCAGAAGCCCCTTTCGCTCACAAGGTCCGTGGTGCCCTGGGGAGAGGACACCGGAGTAGTGGGTCTGAGTGCAGGACACAGGGGCACCCCAAGAAAGGGACCCTTCTGGCCCACTCTGAGACCAGAGTGAGAGAGCAGGCAAGGGCCTAAAGAGCACAAAAATGGGCCCGCTCCCCGGGGCTACTATTTTTAGTCTCCTTTTCTCTGAGAAACTCCCCCCGCCGGCTTCTCACGCCCCAGGGGCAGCAGCGCAGAACCGCGGAGGAGCGCGGAACAGACTGGCCTCCGGGAGAGCCCAGTGCAGCCTAGCCCAGCAGAGCGGATGCCTGCCCCAAGCGCCCGGTGGCGGCCACAGTGCCATTTAACTCTAGAGCAGCCACGGAGAGGTCAGCAGCCCCCTGCAGTGGCCTGCTGGGGACGTTGAGCCTGGGCTGTCGTGTAAAAACTGGGGTTCAAAGTTAGGATAGAAAAAGAAGAGGTTACAGGAGAGATGTAGACCAGGCCCAAGCAATGAACTTGGACTTTTCTCTTCCCTTGCTTCCCAAATGGCCAGCAGGGAGATGGGGGAAAGGCAGAAGGGAAAGGGGCATTGAGGTTGACCTTGGGAGAAGGGAACTGAGAAGTTAAGGGATCCTGGAGTAGGCCCACGAAGCCTAAAGGGGCAGAAAGATGTTCCATCTTCAGTGTGGCCGGTGGGCTGCTCTAGAGCCCTCTTTGTCTGGGGACCCACTTCATGTCCCCACACCTTGCAGCACAAAGCTAAAGGGGGCACGGGTGAGCATTAGGTGTTCCCCATCTCGGACCCCATCACTGTGACTGAATCGCACTGCATAGCTCTCTGCATCTGGTGACTTCCAAAGTGAGAGAAATAAGGGGTTAAAGTTGACCTTGACAAACTCACCCTTCACCCTATTCGGGATCCTTGAAAAAAGATGGCAAGAAAGCCTTGGAGTAAGTGAAACGAGCTTAGAATGGGCTTAGTTCATGATGGGTCCTTTTCCCTCCAGATGTAGGAATGGAAGCCCTCAACACTCCTTAGGCACTTGCTCCAAGGAGGCACCCTTCCTCTCGGACTCTTTGAGGAACTTCTTCTCTATTTCCTTTGTCCCTTTGGCTCTGGGAACCAATGGGGGTGGTGGACCTCGTGGGGGGGGGG